CCTCTCGAATTTTTTCAATTTGATGTTCCTTCCCCTCTGTGAAGCCTGAAGTCAACTAAAGGGCTAATGATAAATATCATAAAGCCTGCCATTTGATATAAATAAATAAATATTATTATATCAGATGGCAAGCGTCTTGATGGTTATCATTAGCCCTTTAGTTGATTTCAGGCTTCACAGAGAGGAAGGTACATCAAATTGAAAAAATTCGAGAGGGGAGGGGGAACAGAAGAGTGTTTCAAAGATGTAAGAGACAGACAAAAGGTAGAAAAAAGGTGAGGTGAGTACTACGGAAGTAGTCGAATATGACATATAGTGAGATGATGGTAGCTTGAAGTGAGAAGTCAACTGCCGGTTAATAGACTTTTTTGCCGTATGTGTATGCGTTGCCCAGGGTACACCACGTGGAGTTAAGTCTATCGCCCACCCCACCTGCGAACACATCTGCAGTTATTAGTAAACGAGACAACCAATAGCCAACCATATACCCAAGCCTATTAAGCTAATGGTATTTTACTAATAAAAAAGCAGAAGTTTGTGCGTCGAGTTCACTCTTTTCCCCTTTATTAAGTTAGCGTAAAAATACCTTTAGAATAGAGCAATTGAATTAATGGCTCACCAAGTTATGGTATTTAGAAGTTAATCGGAACTTGAGACTTAACTTTATAAATTGATCAGTTGGTTATAAAAGAATGGAGATTGTTTTTCCCCGTATTCAAAATTTAAATATGTGTCGTTACTATCAATTCTCGACTCTCTGATCTTTGCAGTTTCACACTTACTTTCCATGAAAAGGTTTTAAGAGAATATCTGATTAAATAAAAATGCGACTAACATGAGTTAAATAATGGAAAATTTAAAATTTTTTCCTCACATTGCTAAATATAAAGAAATAATAGGCAACAGAAGATCAGACACTAACAGATAATAATGCATTTAGGGAAGAAGATGGTTTCTTGAAGTTTGCAATCTCTGATTGTGATGCATGAAACTTAAGAAAAATTGAATAAAAAGACAAGTACAAATTAAGTCAAAATAACTTTTATCTCTATTTAATGAAGTACTCATTTAATTTGGATCTGTGAAGGCTTAATATTTGTGAGGACCACAATAATCTGGTAATAATTTCTGAGTAAAGATTTTAATGAGAAGATAAAATTATGGCATTCTAATTCCGGATACCTTTTAGCCAGATAATCAATATTAATGAGATTAATTAGGATAAATTCTAGAAATAAATGGAAAATGAAGTACAGCAAATATTATCTCTATTGTACAGATTTCAATAATTAACTTTCATTAACCAATCGCCTTCAAGGCTAAATACTGCATTTGCGATAATTAATCAACGACCGCGTTACGTTGATGGGATTTTCAATTGATGGCTTCTTTCAAAGGGCTTTTAAATAGTGTTTTTCGAGTATGTTTTGATATTTAAAAATAATCATATTATTTAGCGTCGTCAAAAGTCTGTGACAGAAGCATTAGAGGATATTGATGCTGTAAATGAATATAATACTCTTAATTTTTTTAGAATATCGAACTCCTCAAGAAACACAAGGAAGCAAAACTTTGTAGTGCAAATAAAATCACATTTCAATTAATTTTCTACGCATCTATTCCATATGTCACCTTTCTTTTGGTTTATTTTTTCCTCCTCAACCCAACTACAACTCACTGGAGAGTTATATCTATCGTAGGCGTATTTTTGTATCCTATTGTGTAAGCTACGTCTTTGATTAATGCAAATATCATTTTAGTGTATTATTTTTAAAATATTTGGTTAATAAAATATATGTGGGAAGTGCAAGTCGGGCAGGTACGTCTTTCGCACTTTTCTTGATATTTACATGCCATTTAGATAAGAAATTGAAGGATCTTGTGAAGCAGAAACGTCAAATAGTATGCGCATTATTTCAAATCCGATTTTATTTATAGCTTGAAAATGTAATGAATACCGAAACCTACAATAAAGCTCATCAAATCCTCAAGCAATTCGACCCTTTGGGTCTCATTGTTAGAGACGTAATGTGTTTTACTTGCTGTAATCATTTTTAGTCATTGGTGGATCAACCGGTAAAAAAGGTAGAAACTGACACAACAACAAGGCAACGTAACGTTCCTGGCAATAAAAGTGCTCCATGTACCCCTAAACCGGTCCCCAGTAAGACATTCTTTGATCTGACATTATTTCACTAATTCCTAAAAAAACAATATGTCCTTTTATAAAGAGTCTTTATCCTTCACCATTCCCTAATATATCTTCGTTTGTTAGTTTTTGTTGTCACAGCAAGTAATCGAACGCTGTGGAATATCAATTAACTCTAAGTTAGGATGTAATTAGTTTCAGCTCCTACTTTATCTCTTTTTATTCTTCGGTTTGTTGCTTACTTTTTAAATTAGCTGCTGCTCAAATACCCCATCGCAATCCACCGTCAACTGCATCAACTCCACTTAAGGGACCAATCACCCATCGGCCGATCTTACCTCGGGAAAGATCGATTTTGGACATTGTTGTCGATGCAATTGTCGGTGATGGACCTGATCGGAGGTACGCTTTGATTTGCCAAAGTTGCTCGGGACATAATGGAATGGCTTTGGCCGAGGAGTTTGAGTACCTGGGTAAGCGCCATTTTGTTATTAATTTGAAAGCTTATGGATTTTTGGCGTTAAACATGAGGGGGGGGGGTCAAAGGCCTAACGTGGTTTGCTCAAAGTGATGAGCATTTTTTGTTGGGTTCAAGCCAAGCTATGGAGAATGGAATAGTCCCCAATTCGTAAATCACATCATAACACTTCGGATTTTCATCCTGTTTTTTAATATCTTTATGAAAAGGAGGCTTCAGAACTCTACTCCACTCCACATTTCCGTTATTGTTTTATTAGGCGTCATTCTCGTTATCTTCGGTTTCATGTGTCCATAATAAGTTCAAATGGACTTGAAAGAGAAAGTGCAATTAATATTGTCGATGTTTATCGTTTAGAGTAAACAGCATTACTAAGTGTTTCTACATCTGAAATTCATCAGGTTTAAAATCTGATATTGCCGTTATTTCCATTTTTATTCTCAGAGCGGAAGTAAGTTTAGTTTACCTATTTTTACTTCCTATACTCAACTCATCTAACCTTACGTAGGCTCGGTTTTGTTTGTTTTTTTCCGTCTAATTATCGATCCCTCCCCCATTAAATCGCATTAATTTCATATTTTGTGTCTTTTTAAGTCAGGAAGATGACAGCATTTGGCACAAGATACTCAATAATTACTTGGGAGAATGCCTTTTAAAAAGGAAGTAAGCATCTTAGCAATACCATTCGAAATATTGATTAATATTTAGTTAGATATTTCCTGGAATAGGACTTATCAAGTCTTTCTTATTTTAACGAGATCCTGCTCTGATCCAATTTTTTTTCTATATTATGCTCTCTATGAAGGTGGCTCTATAAGGTTCACCCTTTCCCGTAGCTGGTACTGATTTAGTACGTGTAAACACATTACAAGTCTTACTCTGTGCCTAGGTTACAAGGAAACAATGCAGCACTTTGATATAGAACATATTCGAAAGTTAACGGAACCCCCTCACCCCCACTTTAAAATTCACGGATTTTAATATATAAAATATTGTCTTAATAATAGAAATGTGACAAAGAGGACACATAACTTGTGGTGTTTCATTTGTCAGTCAAATGTCACTTGAAGAACCGATTGGGGTATTTTTTTCTGAATCGCCAACACCTCAGTGTAGAACACATGTGGTCTTTATTTACTTTCATGACTATTCTTGAAGTTTGAGAATGCTCCCTTAGTGATCTCTGACCATTTTTGCACTCTTGAAATTGGCATTCGAAGTTTATAGAGTGGCATTAGGGTGGTCAGTTCTTAGTCATTTTGTGTTAAGCTCTAGTTCAACACAAATATGCTATTTTGATTATGCTAATTGAGTCACTTTATTTTGATATACCTCACGCAAATTTTCTTACTTTTCTACGTGTGAGTATATTCAATTTCTTTGTAGTCGTTTCCTTGTGACTTGTCACAAGTTAGGGTTTATGGAAATTACTACCGTATTGGGTAATTTCTAAATTAATTCTTGGCAATTAATGCTTACTGCTATATTGCTCTTTTACAACTCCCTGAAATTGTAACACCGCTATTCGACAAATAAATTATAGTGCTTCCAGCTTAATTGCGTTCAGTTTTCTCGAATTCTGAATTTATAGAAGCCTGTTGGTGTACGTATTCCCCACTCTACCCCCCCCCCCCCCCCCCCCCCCCCCCCCCGCCATAGAGACAGCTATGTTCGGATCGGTACACCGTTACCTGCGTGTATGCCCCCTAAACGTGAAATGCTAAATCACATCAAGTAAACTATGCAGCCTTGAATGTGGTGAAAAGAAGACATTTGCAGCAATGGTTATTAGGGGCGCAGCGATTAAATCAAAGCCCATCAGCGGAGAAGAATGCCCTTTTTTGAGTCGTTTGAGAGAAAACCCTACTATTACACCAAAGGTACTTATTGGTTAAGAGAAATGGTAATCACGGAGGAAAATCAGTGTTGATATCACGAGGATCTTTTTTTAAACTAATTATAATCTGACTTCTTAATTCTACTGTCAGGTGCTCTCAGAGGTGTGAAGAATTAGCTTTCCTCTGGATAGCGACATTCAAGGTATTAAGCGTACGACATCGATTTGAAAAAAAGTATTTCAGGAAATGAATGGTTGAAATTAAAAGTAATAGTGATATTTTGATCAGGTAATTGAATCTGCTTCAGCGCGTAGAGTTTAATCGCTGCCCTCTTCTTTGAAAAATGACTTCTTTACCTAGTTACATTGGTTGACCTGGTGCGTATTGAGCCATCGTTCTGGCTTTCCGTCTGCCAACTGTAGGTTAATCTTCCATATCTCTCTCTCTCTCTCCCATCTCTAATATTGTCACGCAATTTTAAAATTTTCAGTAGAGGGTGGTCAGGAGACCAAAGGTATTGCTACTACTAGGGACGTAAAAGCTTGGGTTCAGCTTGAGCATTGCTATCAATGTACCGTTTCATCCAAAACCAATTTCTGCCTTTTAATCAAGTTACTTATACTCATACAGCAAAAAAGTTTATTAACCGGCAGTTGACTTCTGATTTCAAACTACCAAGACCCCACTGAATTTCATATTCGAATAATTTCACAGTACTCACCTCACCTTTTTTCTACCTTTGTGTCTGTCTGTCTCTTTTACGTCTGTGAATCATTATTCTGTCCCCCTCTCGACGTTTTACCACTTTGATGTTTATCTTCCTCTCTGTGAAGCCTGAAGTCAACTAAAGGGCTAATGATACCTATCATAACACCTGCCATTTGAAATAAATAAATACTTCTTCATTTGAATTGATGCTGAAGGTGCAGATAGGCCTAAAGGTTAATATTACTTTTTGTTTTGCGAAAAAGTCTTGAATCCTACTTGATCACAAAACGATCGAACACCGTCAGGTGAAATTACCAATTCTTAGTCTTTTTCACTTAGATTTTCATCCTTAATTAAGGCACCAATCATGCCACAAGTGTTAAGACAACTTTTCCCCCACTTCCGAAGGTGAGTTTACTGAATACTAAACTTACTGGGATGGATAAAAATTCTAATTTATTGCATGCCTTGGATTGCAATAAGTCGTGAGGCGCTTGACATCAGTGACAGCTAGTTAACGACTTACCACAAGTCCATCTAAAGCTGTCCATTTGCCTTCATGCATGCCAATCTAATCGCATATCCTAATGCCACTTTTGGTACTGCCCGCAACACTGCACTCCCTTAACTGGTAAATAAGCAAGGTTGACTTTATTGAACTTGTATTTTGTCGGTGCCAATCACGTGACTCATATCTCCACATCCCACCCTCTCTCTTTTTTCTTTGCTAGTTTATTTACAGAGGAAGTTGTTATTTAAGATTTGCTGTCGGGCCTTGGCATTCTGCATTCTTGCTCCACATGGACTCTCCCATGGCAAAAGCATTACCTCAGTAAAAGTGTGTGTGGGTTGTTGTGTGACAGGGTGACGACCCTGCCATTCGGGCACATTTAAGCAAATATACAAATTGTAGAAATAATCAAAAACAAATTACTACTTAATTCCTATTGGATAAATTATTAGTCTAATCTAACAGTCTATTTTGATGCATTTTGTCCTTAAGATACAGAATCTTGTTATTTTCAAGGGATAGACTGTACTCTTATCCAGCAATACTGTAGTGGAGCTGTTGCCATTTATACACAATCAGGCAGGTTAGAAACATATGAACCAAAACAGTATTTGGCGTTGTGATAAGTGATTGGGGCTTCAACTGCGTCAATAATAACAATTTGTTCGTAACGCATTATTTTCTTTGATTTCTTTCTTTTAGCATTTCGTTGCTGCTATTGCGGATTCCATAATCCTGCACGTCGTAATCGTCGCCATCCACAATCACTTCAATTTCCCACTAGTCCAAATTCCTCCTCTAATCAACCCACTCCCATTTCCACACCCTTTGAACGTCATCAATACTCCTCCGCGTTAAATCTCACTTCAGTTGGAAGTCGAAGTCATCTTAATCGGGGTCCTTTTGAGCGTATCTCTGCCTCCACTGAGAATGTCCTCTCATCTTCTCTCACAGAATCGTCTGCTTTACCGCAACAGTTTTCTAGACGACGTAAGACTGCTGCGCCAACTCAGCGAAACCCCGAATCAAGATCTGCTTCGGCATGCTCTTTAACTACACCTTCGTTGCTTGAGGAAGAAGGAGAAAAGGAGCCGTCAGAGAAGTCAATGGAAGGAAAATCGTGAAATTCATCAGGTTTCTTTCGTTAAAAAAGCTCTTACATTTGACCCTCTATGTGTATTTGAATGCTGTTACATAAGGGATATACTTATACCGCTTGTGCTGACATTTCAAGTAGGTGTTATCTCTTTTTATAATGCTGTCTTTTTGATACATGAACAGGTCTTGACTGGATCGGATCTTAGCATATTGGGATCCGATAATACTTAGATGATAGTCTTTCCGTGATAAATTGAGAAGCCTCTTGAGCCACCAAGCTTTTGTTTAGAATTCGGCTGTATGCGAGTGTTTTAGTATTGTTCTTAAGTGATTTAGAGGAAACAATGTTCAAAGAAGGGTGACTTTATGTTGACTCTAGAACAGGACTCCACTAATGGAAATTATTTGAGAGAATCTGTTCGAAACATTGCTCCAAGCTTGTTCACAAATTCGTTAATGGCCTTATTTTACCCTTTTCATTAACCTATAGTTCCAAATAATTGGACTCGCCTACTTTGGGCCGTCCAGTTTATCCACTTGGAAAAGCAAATTCTGGGGTAATATAGGAGGAAGAGGTCATCGTGACCAAAATAGTTTTACAAGAGTGCTCTATCTTGATATACCAACTTTCTACTGGCTACTGTTCTTTCAAGTTGATCTGATTTGCCCACTGGTTAAATCTTATTGTTCTTAATTGTTTTGACTG